ATAGAAGTTTATCGAAAAAGATTGTTAGGAAGAACGTTCCAGCTGCATGTGTAGAAATATTGAAACTTAGAAGTTTGGTTCCAGCTACAGAGGTTGTTTCAAGTATTTCAAGAGGTTTAGTTCGAGCCATCCAAAGAAGTGTACGAGATTTAACTTTACCTAAGAAGAATTATCAGTTGGTGATATCCAAGCCTATCATACGAATCCCCTGTACCTGCTACCTGTTATACCACAGATAAGTTTTCAATAAATCATTTAAATTTGAATAAGTAAGTCTCTGTGAATTAGAATTTGTCGTTACCTTATAATATCATAAAGGTTAGTGATTTTCTATATTTTCATCATTAATCGCTTGTCAAGTTTAGAAAGTTTAAATATAGTGGCGTCCAACATTCTTTTTCAAAGTGATACGAGTTGTTTAATAACCTGACCCACTCCCCAAAACCATTGAGCTTAAAACACTATAACAATAGATAAAATAATAAGATCATATTACAAATTGCTGAACTAATAAGGTAAACCTAGAAAAAAAGATACAAAAATACCGTCAAATCATTTTAATGAGTTCTATCGCGTTAGTGGTTTAGCAATATCTGCAAACTTCTTTATGAATCTTAGGTAGTACGTACAAAGCCCAAGAAAACTTCTTATTTGGTGTTTATCCTTTGGTTGTGGCCACTCTTTGATAGAAGCGACTTTTTCCTTATCTACAACCGCGCCATCCTTGCTGACTACATGACTCAGGAAATTAACTTTATTTTGAAATAGTTGGCATTTCTTGGGGTTTACCATCAGTTGGGTAGCTTGAAGTCTTTTAAAAACATCTTTAAGTTTTTTAGATGGTCATGAAATGTCTTCCCCAAGACTATGATATCGTCTAAATACACCAGGCATGTTTTCCAGGATAACCCTCTCAATACATTTTCCATAAGTCTTTCAAATGTCGCGGGGGCATTACATAATCCAAATTGAATTGCCACAATCCAGGTATGATGGTAAAAGCTGTATTTTCTTTGTTTACCTAGTCCATTTGCACCTACCAGTATCCAGACTTCTAGTCTAAGGTAGATAATAGTTTATTTCCGACCAATGTGTCCAAGGTATCGTCGATACGAGGCAAAAAGTAACTGTCTTTCTTGGTAACATTGTTCAACTGACGGTAATCCACACAGAACGTCGTAGTACCATCGTTTTTCTGTACTAGGACTACCGGAGAGACCCATGGGCTGACAGAAGGTTCTATCACCCTGTCTTCCTTCATTTCTTGAACAATCCTTTCAGCTTCCTCTCTCTTGGCCTTTGGTAATCTTCGAGCTGATTGACGAATCGGCCTGGCGTCACCAGTGTCAATTTTGTGTTTTACAACAGAAGTTCTTCCTGTTTTTTCTCCTTATGTCACGATATCGTCGAAGAAATTCCTTTATATTCTTTTTCTCTAATTGATTCAGAGATTGACCAGCAACTGCAATAATTTGCTCGAATTTGTCGTTGGAATTATCAGAAGTTGTTGTCTGACGAATTATGGAAGTTACTGGTACACAAGTTCTGATTCTGATCTCTTTTTTGATAGTAATCGGGTGATCATTAACGTTTATGAGACGGACTGGAATTTCTTTAGCAGTCGTGACCAACCCCTTTCCGATCAGAATACTTCGTCCAACCTCTTCATCGTGATTCCAAGGTTCCATCATGACAGGTGTTCCTTCTTCCATAGTTTCTTGTAACCGTGCTACTATAACGGTTTCACTTCTGTCAGGTACCACCGTATTCTCCTGTACAGCAACTAGCAAGGTACTGTTCCCATGTGGTTGTAGGAATATTTCTTCGACACCAACTTTGATCACTGTGTTTTTAAAGTCCAACTGGAAACCATGTAAGTTCATTACATCCATTCCAAGAATAACATATTCTTCGATATCAGCGACAATAACAATATGAGCGAATTTTACTGTACTAATTCCTAATTGAACCTGGATTTTCCCATGGATGTTGGTACTTTCACTTGTGGCAGTCCGCACTCGTAATCTTGTTGGTAGAAGTCTTTTACGGTTATTTATGGTTGTTGGTCGTAGTATCTACCAACAGTGTATACTTTTTACCATTTACTTCGCCGTCTACATATACACTTATAATCGCGACATTTCAAGGAGGTTATCAGTATGAGAGGGTCTTTGGAACGGTTTCGGGTCGAAGCTGCCCCTTCTAGGTCGACCCGCTCTAGTTTTTCTGCGGCGTGTTGTCTTCAGTTGTTGGGACCCTAAGGCGTTTGCACGAACTGCGTACATGTCCCAGTTCACCGCAATTCCAGCACCTGATGGTCTTTGTCTTCATCTTTTTATCAGTAAAGGTCTTCATTATGTTAACTAATTGGTCGAGTTTATCTTCTACGTTTTATTCTTTTACAGTTCTCACCTTACTGCATCCACCAGAAGCATGCGTAGCTACCTCATATTCTAAAGCAGTGGACAAGACATCGACCAATGTTTCCATCATATTTTCCGCAGCTGATAGGTAAGCAAATCGCACCAACCTGGCAATATGTACTTCGTATTCTTGAAGAGTCTCGTCTCGTTACTGTTTACGATTCTTTAACTGTGACTGGTATAGATGCTCCAAATGTTCGTGACCATATCGCATATTTAGTCTCTTTTTGAGTTGCTCAAAATCATCTGTCTCTACCCCAGGTATAGTCTGAAGAACATCTAAAGCGTCTCCTCGAAGGGAGATTGTCAGATTTACGGCCTTTTCTCTCTCAGACCGTTCGTTTGCCATCGCAGCTGTCTCGAACTGTTTAAGGTAGTTGGTCCATGACATCTTTCCATCGAAGGTTGAGACTTTAATACGAGCAGAGTTTACAGCTCCTTCCAATTTTAACTTAAAGCCATAGCGAGTCAGAAAGTTACGTCGAGGCTGGTATGGGAATGCATCGAAGAACTAAGAACACTGGTAGATCGAAATAGAGTAAAACTATTTTGGGTGTCAGGTCACCAAAGGATTGAAGGCAACGAAAAGCCTGACGAACTTGCAAAAAGAGGGTCAGAAGTAACACCGGAACCAGACACAAACCCAGGAGTACCAAAAAGTACAGTCCGGGGTTTCATAAACGACTGGATTCGGGAACAACATATCAACTATTGGGGAAGCACCCCAAAACAGGCACATGGAAAAGCCTTCATAGGCAGATCATGTCCCAATAGAACTGGGGAACTACTCTTAATGAATAGGAACCAGTTGAAAGTGATAACAGGGTTCATGACTGGGCACGCCCCACTAAAGGGACACTTGAATAAAATTGTCATATACAATGGGAAACTCATGTGTCGACTATGTCACAAGAAATCAGAAACGGCCAAACAGATACTGTGCGAATGCGAAGCTCTAGATCGCAAAAGACAGGCTCTTTTTGGACAACCCCAGGTTGATCCAACAACGTATAGAAACCACTCATCCAAGGATCTGTACAAACTTGTACAAGGTACAAAGGTGATAGAGTGGGTGCTATGAACTAACATGGGGTAAAACACAATAATCCAATAGGCTTCAGTGTTATTCGGAGATACATAATCAGACGAGCCCAGGAAAAAAACCGCCGTTGCATTACAAATTGGCGCCCAACGTGTCTGTTTATTACAAAACAAAGAAGTAAGTATGCGCACATTTTAGTCTGATATTTAGTATGTAATTTGAAAAAAAAAAGATTCTAGGTAATTGTTGTCAGTAAATGTAAAAAGATAATTCAATGTAAAATCAGTATCTTAAGTTTTTATTTTTAGTTTCATCCTACTATTATGAGGTGGTAATTTCAAAATTTTAGCACTAGTATATTGAAGTAACTTACTTTTTATAATGTTTCAGCTGAAATTACATTTGTAAAATTATATTTCACTTGTTATTTTCATTTATGTTACAATAAAATGCGATTTTTTGTCTGTTAACCTAACTCTTAGAATCATTTTACTATTTCCTTCCACAAAACATAAAATAAATGAATTCATTAAATTGTCAATTGTTGACACATACGGTCCTTGAGTTTGCAACATTGCCAAACACTTGAATATAAAATCACTGTCTAATAATTTTCAAATGTTCAAAAATTGTTTTTTTTTAAATACATATTTCGATATATAATTTTTTCGCGAAGCAACCCGTGAGACCTCAAGGCCTCACAGGTTAGGTAAATTAGTTAATATTTATTTAATTTTTATTATTTCATATATATTTTTTTGGGAAGCAATCCACGATATCTCCAGGCCGCACAGGTTAGGTAAATTAGTTAATATTTGTTTTATTTTTATTTAATGTATACTTTTTTGGGAAGCAATTCAAGATGTCTCCAACCGCACAGGTTAGGTAAATTAGTTCAAATTTGTTTAATTTTTCTTATTTTATGCATATTTTTATGCGAAGCAACCCGTGGTGACTTCAGGCCACACAGGTTAGGTAAATTAGTTATTATTTATTTAATTTTTCTTATTTCATATATATTTTTTTGGTAAGCAATCCACGATGTCTCCAGGCGGCACAGGTTAGGTAAATTAGTTAAAATTTGTTTAATTTTTCTTATTTTATGTATATTTTTTTTGCGAAGCACCCGTAGAGATTCCAGGTCGCACGAGAAGTCGTTGCTTCGTCTTCTTGTTTTTTATAATCTCGTGATTTATACATTTTAGATAACCCTGAAACTGACAATTTCGTTAACAACTTGGCAGCATTGTAATTTTTAATATCGAATCTGCCATCTAGAGTAAATGTTTTGTGAATATAAACTGTAAAATACTTGACTTTACAGGAATTTTTTTACGAAAATTTACTATAGAAATTAGTTACTTTTGAGTGTTTAATTTTTTTTTGCAAAATTCGCACCTCAGGTTCCCTCGACAGATCCGTATTTTTAATTTAAAAATCCGAATATCCGTTAAAAACTTATAATATCGCTGAAAAACTAATTTTAATCGCACTTAAAGTCGTTTAAAATTATTTGTACCTATAGTCAAACTTACTTTGACGTGAAAACCTTTAGTGTTGGTTATATTGAGTTCTTTAAGAGTAAATCCCAGCCTATACGGATAACCATCAACTCTACGACTCATTATACCTATCGCATATGCTCGGCCACCTTTTTTCTTAGCCAACAACGGTTTTGTCCATACATCGATGTTATTCCTCTGAAAAAAAAACTTTCATTACAATTTCCGCAGATTTAAAGATATTAGAATAAATCTAGCAACAATGTTACGACTTACCTTCAAAACCAGTCTTCCCATTACGCCCAAGGGATCTTGATTGACAGCAATTACGTCTTTATTCTGAAGGATATCCCTGAATTGTGGTTCGATCGTTCTCAAATCAACCGACATTATTAGAGGAGCCGCCATTACCGCCCAGATGGCCATTTGGGCTTTGCTTTGTTCGAAACTCAGACCGTAGTTGCCGATAATAAGCTAAAAACAAAGATATGTCGAAATTAAAACGTTCTATGAAAGCGACAATTGACAGGTGGTTATTTTGAAGTGATAGTACTGTTTGTCAAACAAAGACGTTCTATGATAATGACAATTAAATAACTTTTTCCAAATAAATGCCTTTTTTTAGTGTTAGGTATTTAGTATTTTTAAAGACGTTCTTTGATAATGTCAATTAAATAACTTTTTTCCAAATAAATGCCTTTTTTTAGTTTTATTTAGTTTTTTACCATGTCAGGGTCATTCCAATGTCCTGGACCCGAAAACGGAGCGATACGGTCCTGGTTAGCACTGAACCAATCCAATATACCTGTGACATTGGCCCAGCCGTCGTCGATGTCATCCCAGTTCCTCCAAAGGTTGCAAGCTTCAGCCAGACTTGTGTAATTTGACTGTAAAAAGAATATATTTTTGTAAAAATAAAAAACGTGATAAAAATATTGTCTAATATAAATGCGAAAGTTTGGATGTATGGATGGATGTTTGTTACTCAATCACGCAAAAACGGCTGAACTGATCTGGATAAAATTTGGTACAAAGATAGATTATAGTCTGGAATAGCATATAGGCTACTTTTTGTCACGAAAAAATGTACGGTTCCCGTGGGGAATCGATTTGTTTTTCATAGTCATAGTGAAACTTGAAAATTTGAAATACTGCTACTAAGGATTCAGGATTTTTGAATTTTCACATTTTAAGGTATGGAAACGGGGGTTGAAAGTTTGCATGGAAGCATCCATTTTTTTTATAGGTAGGACTTTGAAAATTGGAATTATGGCTACTCATCACAAATAAATAATGGTGTATTTCAGGTTTTTGGATTTTCATATTTTAAGAGGGAAAATGGGGGTAAAAGGGGACATGAAGGAAAGAGGGGAAATTGGGAAAAGAAGGAAAGTGGAGATATAATGAAAATTGTGGAAATGAGGAAAAGGTATGGGGGTGAAAGTTTGTATGGTAAGAACTTGAAAATTGGAATTGTAGGTACATTCTGTTCGCTATACTTACGCGGGTTTTGGATTAACAAAATTATGCAAATTAGTCATTGACAACCAGTTCCCATAAGCCTCTTCTTAAGAAATTAGGTAAATTTGCCCTAATGGTCAGATTTAAATTAAAATAACATTAGGGTAGGTACTAAATTTGTTACAAATATTGCAGTTGAATTGATTCTTTGCAAGTATTGACATTGTATGTATATTGTAAATTTAGTGGAAATTTTAAAAATGCCTAGACGTGTGTTAGATGTAAATAGTCTAATTTGTAGTGTACATAAGTATTTTACGGATGAAAAAGAAAATGGCGGTCCTTTAAAATCGGTAATGTCTATATACCAACGCGTATGCGATGCTCTAGGAATTAGTGAAACCAAATTAAGAGGAGTATTACAAAATCACAATAGTGAACTGCCGAAAGAAGATCACCGCAAAACTCGCCCATCATTGAAAACGAAAGATGTTCCAGATGGAAAGAAATTTGAAATTCGTGATACCATTTATCGAATGAGGGCCAACAAGGAACATGTGACCTTAAATACAATTCTCTCGGAATTAATAGATAGAAAATTTGACAAACATTGGCAGAACAAGTCTATGGCAAGTGATACATAACTTGGGTTTCAAATTTCAAAAGGAGGATAACAGAAAGGCCCTTTGTGAAAAAAGTTCTGTTGTGTACAAGAGAATTAACTTTCTAAGAAAATATTCTAAATTTAAAGAAGAAGGCGCGAATTTTATATATTTAGACGAAACATGGATATTTTCTAGGGGTGCAACCAAGAGAATATGGCAAGATGATAACGTAAAGTCCATCAAACATACCGATGGAGAAGGGAAGCGACACATAATTTTACATGCAGGAGGGAAATCGGGTTTTATAGAAGGTGCTGATTTAATATTTTCATCTAAATCAAAATCCAGTGACGTATCACGATAATATGAACACATAAATGTTTGTAAAATGGTTGCATGAAAAACTTCTCCCAGGTTTAAGTGAGCCCAGCGTAATTATTTTAGACAATGCACCTTACCATTCTGAAGTATTAAACAAAAGTCCAACGAATTCTTGGACTGTTGATAAAATTAAAGAATGGTTGACAAAGGAACATATACCATTTCCTCAATATATATTAAAATCAGAATTATTACGCTTGGCAAAACCAAAAACCTTTGTTGTGGATCAGATTATTGAAAGTTACGGTCATCAAGTTTTACGTCTGCCATCGTATCATTGCCAGTTTAATCCCATCGAATATATATGGGGAATAGCTAAACAATATTATGACAACCATATTGGGCCTAATGGTTATAGTGACGACGCAGTTCGGGAAACTTGGCGAAAAGCACTTTCAATTGCAACTCCAGAAGTGTGGCGGAACTGTATATCCAAGTGCGAGAAACTAATAGAAGATTGGTGGACTCGTGAAAATAAAATAAACGAAATAAGTCCAATCATAATAACAATTAATGGTGATGATAGTGATGATGATGACGATTATGATATTTTGGATGATAATGACTGATTTTCATTTTTGTTGCCAAGTTCAATGTTTTTTATTTTTCATTTGAAATTCTCTACATGGAACAAATTTTTATGTTAGAAAATATTTTATTTGAGCCAAATAACCATAGACCATATTTTTTGTGTGAAGTGTAATATAAAATTATTATTAGGTTTATAATAGCCACATTAGACTCCATTAATGAAGAAGTTTAATTCTGCTCTCAATTATACAAAAGATTCTCCATTATTATTTAATTAAAAAGTTGTACATTATTTTTCATTTCATTTAACCAGTTGATATTTCCCCAAAGAACAGGTCAAACTTTCGGGTACTTATCTGGAAATACTCATAAAAATTTTAATCCAAAACCCGCTTAAGTATAGCGAACAGACTGTACTCATCATAAATAAATAGACATGTTCCAAGGTATTTGGATTTTTACATATTAAGGGGGGAAACGGAAGGTAAAAGTTTTAATAAAACTTTCGGTTTTCTAAAGGTAGGAACTTGAAAATTGGAATTGTTTGTTAAGATAATAAGTATTCATGTTAAGATTTAGTGTTTGATTTAGTAGTTTTACCAATGTTGTAGATTTAGTTATTTTATCATAGTAAACGATTGTCAGTCAGTCTCATAGTTATCAAAAAATAAAGTTATATAAAAATCATCCATTTCATTTCCACAAATATTAATAAATATTAATAAAAATTAATAAAAATCAATAAAAATTAAAAAAAATTAAATAAATTAATTAATATAAGTTAATAAAAATTAATAAAAAGTAAAAAAATGAATAGAAAATTAAAAAAATTAAAAATCAATTAAAATTTGTAAAAATTAATAAAAATTAAATTATTATAAAAAATTTTAGATGACGCATGAATAATATTTTCACGAGTAACGAAAACTATTAATAATTAAGGTTTGAGAAATTCTAGTTCTTCGGGATCGGGTCAGTAAGCGCCACGGCAAATATAAATAGTCGTCCCTTCCCCTACACAAATCGTTCAGTCGACTTCATGGGTTGAAATTCACTCGTAAGGGGGTGAATTAGGGAGAGTATTATTATTATTATTATTATTATTATTATTATTATTATTATTCATAAAATTATAGTAATACTACTTACTTTCATATCGTTTGGTTCTTGATATGCTGGCCAACTGCAGGAGTATACAATGGGACGTCCTGTAGCGTTCAAGTATTTACTCATTTGAATATATCCTAAAATATTATTGAGATAAAGAAAAATTGGTCATTTTAAGAGTTATTAATTTATAGTAAATCAGCATAAGCAGAAAGTAGTAAACATTCGTCAAAGGTTTTGTATTATATGCGACAAATAACAAAGTGAGTACCATTTATATACTTGATATATAAATAAAGTTACGAAATTAGGCAAAACATGTATTAGCCATATTGTAAGTTCGACAAAAAACGAATATACCTCTTATAAGTACCCAAAAAGGCATACAATTCTACAAAATATGTAATAGGTATATTGTAAATTCGACAAAACAAAGACACCTAATATTTGTACCTATAATTAATGAAATTTGACAAAATATGTAGAAGATATGTCATAAATTAGAGGAAAAACAAGTACCTATAAAGGTATACATTTCTACTCATGTTTTTACGGATAATACCCCAGACAGCACAAATAAGTCCATTGGACGTCCATTTGCTATACAATTTTGGATGTCTGGACGTCCAAAGATGAGTTTTTTATGGACTTCCGACGTCCAATGGACGTCCAGTGAAGTATACAAATGGCACACTTTTGATTGTTCATTGGACGTCCAATTCTGGATTATTTTGAACGTTCTAATACTGGACATTCAAAAAACGTCCATTCCTGGATTATATTCCATTGAAACCACATTCCTACATTTTTTACACAACCGCAACTCACCACACATTATTTTATATTATTAATAATTTATTTATTATTTTCGCAACCCGCTATACACCATTTATTATTATTTTTTTATTAAGAATTACTTAACCAGAGCAGGCATCAAACTCCCGACACGTCCATTGTCTTTCTAGGCATTCAAGTGCTAGGAGACCTCGACCAAAAGGAGCCACTTGAAAAATTATTAATAGATACTGTTATAATAGAATAAGATTTTTAAACTTCCGCTGATAGAATGAAACTTTATTAAAAATATAAAAGTATATATGCATGGATGGGTATTATCTGGTAGGCTAAATAAATAATGACCTAAGATTGGCGTCCACTGGACGTCAAAATAATACTAAACGTAAAATTACGTCCAAAAACAGACGTCCTCTGGGCATCGATATGCAGCTGTCAAATTAATCATAAACGGACGTACACTGGATGTCCGAATACGGATATGGACGTTCTGGACCTCAAATGCATCTAAAATGGACGTCCATTGGACTATGTGTGTTGTCTGGGACGTAATCTAAGACACGCTTAAGTCCTTCACTTATGATTTGCTGCCACAACCTCCAAATTCACCAGACTTAACACCGTGTAACTATGACACGATACAATGTACTTACCCACATCGACGAATTGCCAATCGGAATAACATCCGTCGAATTTTAAATAGTCAATTTCCCATTCAGCGAATGTGTTGGCGTCTTGTTCAAGATGGAGGATACTTCCGGGATAGCCGGCGCAGGTTTTGGTTCCGTAATCGGCGTACATTCCAAATTTCAGACCTTTACTGTGGATCTAAAGAAAAATACAAATTGATATATAGAGAAAACATGGAATATTGTAGTTATCTAACCATTGCTATAGTAATCTACTATTTTTGTAGTTAATTTAAAGCTAAATCACCATTATCACTTTTCAGGTAAACCCTGTCCCCACTAGAATCAAAAACTCAAATATTTTGATCTACTTACGTAGTCCGACAAATTTTTTATTCCATAAGGAAACCTGTCTGGATCGGGCTGCAGTCTACCGTTGGAATCCCTTTCTTTGGCAGACCAACAATCGTCTATCATGATATATTCGTAACCAGCAGCTAGATAACCGTCGTCCACCATATGGTCTGCCATCGTGCGAAAGAGTTTGTCACTGAAAAATAGTAAGTAAAATGGTTGTTTCAATGGCAAAAAAACAAGCGAAACCTTGGATGGCCTGGATTGATTATAAAAAGGCTTTCGATAGTATGCCACATTCCTGGATAAAGACAATAATGGAGATATATGGATTAAATACAACCATAGCACAATTTATAAATATCTCCATGCTAAACTAGAGAACATAAATGACTCTTACTCACGCCAATGGCACCATTCATACAAATGAGAGGCCCATTCAAAGAGGAATATTTCAAGAGGACTCCCTGTCGTCTTTACTATTCTGTATTTGGCATTAATTCCACTCACCAACATGCTAAATAGTGAAAACATAAAATAAATCACCTACTTTATATGGACGACTTAAAATTATTTACAAAAGACGAAAAACAATTACAATGAGCACTTATCATTGTTAAAAAGTTTAGCAGTGACATCAAAATGGAATTTGGTCTTGATAAATGTGCGACAACTGTGTATAAACGAGGCAAACTGAGTTAAATGCCAGAATATCTGCTTAGATGACCAAACCTCGATTAGGAACCTCGAACCTCATGAATCGTACAAGTATTTAGGCGCCGAAGAGAAAGATAGCATAGATAATATTAATATGAAAAATAACATAAAAAAAGAGTATTGCCGAAGTGTACGACAAATAATAAATGCATTATATCCTATAGTTTCGGCATTATTTATTGGCTAAGATAAGATATAAAGAAGATAGATCGTAAAACAAGAAAGCTGTTAACAATGGGAGGTATACACCATCCGAAGGCCGATGTGGATAGACTATATATTAAGAGACCCAACGGTGAACGTGGGTTAATTGAACTTGAGTCCTCCGACGATCTAACTATTGTGGGGTTAAATAAATACATATGCCAAGAAAAGGATAAGTTCTGTCGACTTATCAAGGACCATAATGAGATCAAAGCCAAATACTCGCTTCAAAAATCCTCTGCCAGCATTAAAACAAAGTATCTTGGACAAGACAATGAAACGCACAACAATAGAAAACTACGAATCAGCATTGAGAACACAAAAATTAAGTGTTTAGAACAAAAGCCACTGTATGGACAATTTTACAAAAACTTGAGTAAACCAGCAGTTGATAAGGAGCTCAGGTCTCAAAGGTGAGACCGAAAGTCTAATTGTAGCTTCCCGATCAAGTCCTAGCAACAAGATATTATTAGAAGAACATCTTAAAACAAAACGTTAACAGCAAGAAAAGGGTATAAAAACTGTTTTGCTGAAATTAACAGTTAGTGACATATGTCTAAGCCAGTCTACTATGATATTCATATCGCTTTCAGCTTTTAATTTTAGGTCTTCCCACGATTTATCATTATATAAGATGACCGTATTATCGGCAAAACAAATGATTTCTCCTGTTGTCTTAAGGTTAAGTAAATTATTTATATATATGGAAAAGAATAAAAGTCCTAAAATAGTACCTTGAGGAACCCCAGTATTTACTTCCATTTTAGTACTTAATACATTTTTAATCCTTATCATTTGTTTTCTTCCAAGAAGATAACTTTGGATTAACTCATGCGGCACTCCCCGCACTCCCATATCCTCCAAGGCATCGAGTAACTGTATATGGTTTACCGTATCGAAGGCCTTGGTCAGATCTAGGAATACAGCAAGAGTCTCTGAGTTATTGTCTAGAAGTCTATAAATATTAGTAGTCAAGCTACATATGGCATCTGTTTGTTGTAGAAACTCTTTGTTTAAATCCAAATTGTCAGGCTGGTAATCAAGGAAATTGGTCTATAATTAGTTGGCATAAGTTTATCTCCTTTTTTTATATACTGGTATTACAACAAACAGTATAAAATCTTCTGGACAAATACCTCTTCCAAAAAATTTATTTATCAGGTAAGTAATAGGAGGAACAAACGCTTCCATAGCAAGTTTTAATATTTCAGCCTTTATATTATCAAATCCAGGAGTCTTATTTGATTTCAATAATTTTATTATTAATTTTATTTCATTTTTTGTTACAGGTTCCAAGTAAAATGATTTTGTTACACGAATTCTAGATGGAGGAGAGGAATTTGGTATAATAATTTTATTAGCATACTGTTTACCTATATTTGTAAAAAAACTATTAAATAGATTAGCAATATCCTTATTATCTGTAATAATTTTTTGGTTTTCTTCATATATTTTTTCAATTTCTGGGTTCTGTTCCTTTCCATCTATTTCTTTGATTGTCTTCCATAATGACTTGGAGGTATTTTTATTCTTTTCAATTAATTCTTGATAGAATCCTTTTTTAAATCATAAATTAGAGTCTATTTCGGTAAGTTTAAAAAATTGTCTGGATTCTTTTTGTATTGTTTATAGAGATAATTTTTCCTATTAATTTATTTGATTAATGGGGTTATCCACTTTTTCCTTTTAATATTTATCTGTTTTCTTTTTATTTCCCTGGTATTTTGGGCAATAATTTTTGACAAGATTTGTACAATTTTTTAGTTATCAGATTAACATCTATTTCATATAAATCTGCCCAATCCGTATTTTGCAGTTCAGTTTTTAATTTGTTATAATTAATAAATTTTATAAGGTTATTAACGGTTTTTTTATTATCTAACTAATTTTTGAAATAGCACAAAAATGTTTTGTGATCAGTAGAGAGCGGAATATATGCAAAATGCATATATACCTATGCATTTTTTGCATATTTTACCAAAGTTCAGAAAATTTAAGAAAATATTGCATATTTTCGAAAAAAAAAAATGTATTACTATACTGTGCAAATCAAAAACAGTTTTAACAGATTATACAGATATATTTGAAATAAAGACCTTTTAAATTTTTGTATTTGTTTTTAAGTGTCACTTCTTGTAAATTCTTGTTAATTAATTCTTGGAGGGTGGCATGCACTGGGTTTTTGCCTTCTTAAGAGATTAAGCCCATTAAGGTAATTGTTAATAGATGGTATTTACACAGATAAAGTATTACCTACAATGCAATAAAACGGTTTATTTAAAATTCTCAGTAATTTCTTGTAACCAATCTACCCTAACATCGAAATATTTTGAATGTTTTTCATTCATTTTAATGAGATAGTATCCTCGTTATTTGCCTAGTGAAAAGTCTTTTAATAATTTGTTGTTTTAAAAGTGTCCTAAAATGTCGAGAATTTCTTCGAGGATTATTAACTTTCCAGAGTTGGAAATCAATGGGGATAAAGTTTTTTGTAAAGCTTGTGCCAAAATAGTGGTTTGCGAGAAAAAGTTCAAAGTGGTTTAACACGTGAAAACATCATTGCATAAAGCCAAATTGCAAAAAATGAAATCACAACCGGTTCAACAATGCGTTGTGAGGTCATTTCAAAACGCCGACAAAACAAAAAGTGACAAGGAGGTATTTAATCAGGACTTGTGCAAAGCTCTTGTTGCGGTAAATATTCCATTAAAGAAGTTACAAAACCTACATCTAAGAGAATTTTTACAAAAATATTGCAATCAAACCATTCCTGACGAATCTACACTCAGAAAAAAAAATGTACATGCTATATATATATAAATGTAATAGAAGAAATTAAAGTTTTACTGGATGATAGCAATTTTTACATCATTGTTGATGAAAGCACAGATGCTTGTGGAAGATATATGGTACATCTTATGATTGGAGCCTTAAAAGAAAATGAACCAGGTACATCATATTTAATTTCATCAAAACAGTTAGAAAAAACTAACAATACAACTGTTACCCGATTTATTCAACAATCTCTAGCAGAATTTTTTTTACCAAATCAAATTCCCTCAGAGAAGTTTTTAGTGTTTTTGTCTGACGCAGCACCATATATGATAAAAGTAGGGCAAAACTTAAAAATATTTTATCCAAATATGGTCCACGTTACTTGTCTTCTGCATGGAATAAACTTAGTTGCAGAAACTGTGAGAACAGAATATCCCTTGGTTAACAAGCTAATTTCGAATGTGAAAAAAATATTTTTAAAATCCCCTTTAAGAGTGCAGTTGTATAAAGAGAGAATGGTAGGGGTGTGTTTGCCCCCGGAACCCGTAATTACGCGATGGGGGACATGGATTAAAGCAGCTATATTCTATGCAGAAAATTTTGAAGCAATAAAGGATTTAATTTTGGATATAGAAGACAATTCACAATGTGTAGTGCAAAGTAAAGAATTGTTAAAAAATCCCCTTGTGCCTAAGCAACTTGTGTTTATAAAGGTTAATTTTAGTTTTTTACCTGATGTAATAACTTCATTGGAAAAGAAAAATTTAAGTTTAATCGAATCAACAAATTTTATTGCAACAGTTTCCGATAAATGTAACAATGTTCCTGGTGACATAGGCCTTAAGATTAGAAAAAAATTAAATACAACTTTATTAAAGAATGAAGGGTTCAATGAAATAAGGGAAGTGAAAAACATTTTTGAGGGAAAATTTTCCAAAGAAGTTTTACGTTGGCCCTGTACATTACTTCTAAAATTACGGTATTGTCCTATTACTTCGGTAGATGTTGAAAGGACCTTTTCTATATCAAAACATATTTTTACAGACAGAAGACAAAAATTTTTAATAGAAAATTTCGAAAAATATTTAATTATAAATTCCTATTATAATATTACTATTTAATATTTTTATACTATTCTATACTTAACTTCTACTAGTTTTTGTGTTTCGTTTGTTTTAAATAAATTTTTATATTACATATTTTCTTTTGTTTTTTTTTTCGTGTAATGGCTTTGATAGCGTACCAAATTAGGAACAGCAATGTTAATTAGAACCCAACAGTGAATGGTCAAGTGGAAATATTCGCTAGGCATCAGAATTAATTTTTAAATAAATTAATTAATTTAAAAAATCGCGTCCCGGCTGGAATTTGAACCCGGGACCCCTAAGCCACAGGCCAACGCACTAACCACTGAGCTACCCACCCCCTACTTTTTTTTAAGTATTTTTAACAAATATGCATTTGCATATTTAGGCATAATTGGACAAAATAACTGCATATTTTTGGTAAAAACGATGCATATATATGCGCATATTTTGTTACATTTTGATGCATATATTCCGCCCTCTAGTGATCAGTTATATGTAGGTCTAACACAGCAGCAATAAGATTATTTTCAAGAGAGTATTTGTGTATCTCCAACTGTTCGCGTATTTTTATTAATTACGGAAGTAAAGCTATATTCACCTATTAAATCCAAATACTCTGTTGTTATATTATCTGTTGATTTAATGTTAATGTTTATATCATCGACAATAACATGATATTTACAAATATTTGTTTGTTTAAATTTATGTAGTATTTATTAAACGGCATCCAACTCGGTTCTGTCCCCTATAAAGTTATACATTTCGACAAAACATATAAAGTATGTATTAAATTTAACAATAAGGTATATGTACCTATTAAGTTAAACAAATATTTTGTATTATTTGCGACAAAAACCTACTTTTTATGATAAATACAGGGTGTTATTGAAATACACGTACATATTAAAATGGGGAATAGTATGTAATGACCAAAAACGATTGGCACCAATTTTAACTTCAAATTCTAAAATTTAAATATTGGGGAAGAGTCCCCTTTTCCAACCTACTAGTTTCCATATTTAAAGAAGTAAAATAAATCGAAATTGAACTTACCCATAGAAATTGCACTGTTGCCGTAGCAAAACCAATTAATTCAAAATAAAGTTTATTACAGTAATTGTTCAAAATGCCGTCCATTATTATTTACACACACTTGCAATCGTCTTTCCAAAGAACTTTGAACATTAGAAATTAGTCTTGGATTTTGTCGTAGTTCCTCGGCTACCGCATTAACTTTATTGGTTAATTGTTCAACACTATTAATAGGTTCATTATAAACCAGTTGTTTCATGTGACCCCACAAAAAGAAATCGCATGGATTTAAGTCCGGAGATCTCGGAGGCCACTTAGTAGGTCCATTTCTGCCTATCCACTTTTGAGGAAATCTAATGTTCAAAAACTGCCGTACGTTTAAATCAAAGTGAGGAGGAGCGCCATCTAGTAGGTACCACATCCGTTGCCTTAATTGTAACGGTATCTCTTCTAGGAGTACTGGCAAAATATCTTCTAAAAAATGGAGATATCCTGGCCCATTTAATCTGTTCGGGAGAACATAAGGCCCGATTAAATACTGATCTATTATGCCAGCCCAAACATTTATTGAAAATTTTCTTTGATGCCCAGTTTCCCTAATGGCGTGAGGATTTTCATCACTCCAAATATGCGTATTGTGCATATTGAACACGCCATCACGAGTGAATGAAACCTCGTCAGTATACAATAATATTTTTAGAAAATCAGGAATATCAACACATTTTTTAATCATCCATTCACAAAACTCCACTCTCTTTTCTTCATCACCTGGATATAAGGCCTGGACTTTTTGGATGTGAAAAGGATGTAAAACTTGTTCTTTAAGTGTCCGCCACACAACAAATGAGGACACTCCAATTTCAAGACCTAGTCTTCTACAACTTAATTGAGGCCGGTTTTCAACAGCTTCCAATATTTCTTCTTCGTCCGCCAATGTTCTTTGTGTTCTTGTTCTCCCTCGATCTGCATTGACACTCTCAAATTTTCCATGGTCTCTTAGATGCTGAACAGTTGAAATAAACGTACGACAGTCCGGAATTCTCCGATTTGAAAACCGTTCGCGATACAGGATTTGTGCTTGCCGAGAATTTTCTCCAGCTGCCCCATAAACCAGCACAATCCAGCACAATGGGGTCTATTCTGTAAAAATTCCTTTATATTTAACGGCCTTTAAAAATATTTTCTTCTTTAATTCGGTCACTATTTAAACGGATCTTTAAAATACATTAGAGGACTATCTTAAAGAAATCTGTTTAAATAACGACAGAAGTAAATTAACGAATACAAATATACTTTTAAAGGCCGCCAATATTTTTAAAGGCCGTTAAATATAAAGGAATTGTTACAGAATAGACCCCTATATCCGTTAGTTCAATATTCGTAAATAGTGGCATCGTAAAAAAATATTTAAAAGTAATCGTAACAACACTTTTTACCAACTTGGAAATGACGGGCTCGTGTTAGCCAGATTCGTAAATCAACTAAAATTTTAATAATCTATAGTTTCAAAAATGTATAGTTTAAAAACAATCATTTATCAAATATTCTAGTTTTTTGATAACGAGGGTAGTAAAAACCAGTCTTCGGAAATAGAAATTAATTCGAAAATCTTGGCAACATGGTTATTTCTTACAAGACTACTGACAAAAACTTGAATATTAATTACTGTTGATGTTTAAAATAGGTAAATAAACCTAATTTATATAGGTCATCCTCAACATATCAGTGAAGTACGTTTGTTTTAGAATTAATTTTCAAAAATTAATAACTCCCTTAATAAGTGGTATTTTTAAAAAATAATATTTTTCTACATTCAGTGGGGATCTGCGCAATACCCAGTTTTAATATGTACGTGTATTTCAATAACACCCTGTATATCTAAGAAGTTTATTTTGGATCTTTTCAATTTCACTCAAATAATTAAATCAGAGAGCCAAATTTCAATTTGGATCTAACTAAACTGAAGTAGAGAGTTTTTTATTGTATTGATACCTATTGGATAAAGTGAAGTTTGTCTTATTTGAAACTATGTTGTTAGGTACACATGAGATCCATGAGAAGAACAATTAATGATAACTCATTCTTTATCATTTGTCTCTACGACACACTCTACAGTCTACACGTTTAAAAATATTTTATAGTAAATACATTTTAATTCAGATATTATCTCTTCATACCTGATGCATTCGTCTGGATAAATTTCGCAATCTATGAGACACCTAAATCTTTGCCAATGCATCCATCCCATGGGAGGCGTTCGAGCGAGTCCATTTTCCAAACAATCCACACTGGCAAATGCAGCAAACGACAAAATTAAAATATATTTTGAAGTCATCGTCACCATCGAATTAAAATGAATAACAATCTAAAAAGTATTCTGTGCTAAAACATAAAAGGAACAAATTATATTTTATTTTTAGTGTGAAGGTATGCGAGTATATCTACATTTACGATTATTTTTATTTTAAATAAAAAAGTAATAGAAACAATCGTATAGGTATACGAGGAGATTCAGGAATGTATCGAATAATTTTTCAGATGCATTTAAATTTAAACAATTCGGTGATTATTATTTTTTTTTAAAGTATGTTATTAAATTTTGACTTTTTACTCGGACACATTGATTTTGTTTTGAAAAAAGTCACTTTTCTTTTTATTTTGTTTTTATATTTATCAATCCATATGAAGGGTAATTTTTATTCCTATTATTTGTATAAAGAAAATGAGTCAAGTGGCACCTCGTTTTGAAAGGTTTATAATTCTTCCTACAACAACGAATTTTTTCGAAAATAATATGAAGCAAATAAAAAGTACATCTTTGAACACGTTACCTAACAGAAATAAGCAAAAGTGCCTTTTTTATTTGTGTTGGGTAACGTACTCAACCTTCTTCAGAGATTCAAAGTTTGATTAACAATTTACCCTGAACAAAGACAACAAAATCTCGCCTTGAAACCTTCGAAAAATATTCTAAAACGCCTCTGTTTCGTTGAAAAAAACAATTGTAGAGTGGAATAACTAATACGCCGTAAAAGTGTGATGAAATTTTGGTTCCAGTGACAGTTAATTATAACCTTATTTTTAATAATATTTGACATACGTTTTAACTGTTTTTAACTCCGAGCAATTACTATTAGAGGGAGTCTTCCCCCCTTCCCCGCGCTTAATTTTGTTAGCAACATCTACTCCCCCCGAGAGGCAAAATACCTCTTCTGTAATTGGCTTATTTAATCAACGTTGCCAAGTTTGACAGCGCCAGAAGTGTTCTGTGAGCGCCAGTTCTGACACTTTCTAACACATGTCAATTTCTTATTTGTATTTTACGGAAAATATTATTATTTATAACGTTGTAAGGGTTGTAAATGTATATTTAAGATTTATTATCTCTAATAATATGGTGAAAACATGCTTTATGTGTAAAAGGCCTGTTGAAAATGCTTCTTCAAGATAATATCATAAGTAAGTACAGACACAACCTAATTATTAGAGGCGGTGCATTAGGCAATCACCTTTAATTTGCAATTAAACTTTCTTATTTTCTTATCGAAAAATTAAAATTAAGAGCAAGTAAACTCCAGCTAAGTTCATCTTCATCCGTCTCATAATGATTATAGTAAAGGTTAATTACTTATTATTATTTTAATATCACATCTTTGTAAAGTTTATTGTTATTTTTTTAGGTTTCCTTTTCTTGATGTGAGAAAGAAATACATGGTTCCAAAATATAAGAATTTAACAAGTGACCACCTGAATAACTTTTTATGCTAATGAACATTTTTATTACAGACCTCAGGGAAGGAAAATATTAAAGAAAAATGCAATTTCGACTAAAGAAGTATAATAATCAATCCTGTCACTACTTCTACACTATATTCACCTGCTACTAAAATACTAAAACAACAAGTAAGTAGAGAAACTTAAGTTTCTTTCAAAAAGAATGTTTAAGGAAAAAGGCATAGCTATTTTTTTGTTGACACTTTTTTTTAACTAATCTAAAAGACTAATTTTGTGTATTGTTTAAATGCTCATTTTTTGTACTTAATTTGTTTTAGGTTTAAACAAAATGAACTTCTAAGATATGCATGGAATATCCCAAAAGAGCTAAGGAAGGTTTTAAAATTCTTAAGAAAAGTATTCAGAGCCAAAAACATAAAATAGTCTTCCTGTCCAAAATATAAATAGGTATAAATATTTAGATATTATGAGTGATTTTTTATTCTATAAATAGAACATAATTTGCTTCTAAATCACTACCTAATGAACTATATTCTATAGTACAAAACTAAACAAGAATATCACATTATTCATGTTTTTTTTTTTAATTTCCTCAAAACGTCCCAAAAAAATGTGAATATTTATTATTGGAGTTAACATCGTTATGCTAAAACAATACTAGATCAACTTAAATAATGTGGATTTTGACTATTTTGAGTTATGCAGATCATTATGATCTAAAAAAATGTTTGTCTGGTGCTATAGTCAGGTATAAAAACATTCATTTATTTAAACACAGTTGCAATATACATTTTATTTAGTTTTTAAGTTAAAACCTATTAGGACATTCTAAAATGACTTTTTTCGTTTGATGTGAGATTAATTTTTCTACATTTTTGTTGGTGAAATAGAATATATTAAGATGTCTTACTGTTTTCTCTGATTATCTAAAAAGTTAGAACAATATTCAAAGACTGTTATAACAAAAAAGAGATTACCTTTACTTAAACACACAATTAGTCAGTTCAATTGTACGATAATTTAAAGCAGAAATCCAGAAAACTTTAAAAATGTGTTTAAATGTGTCTTTACTATAACAAGGACATAATTATTAAAAAAACTTGGCACATTAACATTGACGATAGGTTTTTATAATATATATTATAAAAATCACAACGAACTACACAAAATGACATTATTAATAATTTCGCAATAAAAAAGTTAAGTACAATGATGACATTAAAAGTTGAGTTTCTCGAAATACTTTTTTTTAAATTGTCTCAGTAACTACCTAGTATTTTTCTAGCACAATGATATTATATGAATGTGCATTGTGTGATATCTTATATTTTAGGAATAAAGTTATATATTTTTTTGCAGGTTTCTGTTAACAATGATTCTAAGAACTTTTGAAAATATTATTAAAACGGCATTTGCAAATATAATTCTCAATTAAGAGCTTTTGATCTAACATTAAATTTTTATTCTCCATAAGGTTATAGCTTCCTAAGAAGAAAGTTTAACAAGACTTACCAGACTCAAAATATCAAAATTTTACCAACCAATTAATGGTTCTACTGGTTTCCATAGGAAAATTCTCCTCGAAACTACTAAAAGAAAAGTGGCAGAGGCAACCGAAGAAGGCAAAAAAGTCTTTTGCAAAACAAAAATTATAAATTTGTTTAAGAATCTAATTATTGTTTAAAGTTTTACCATTAATAATTTTTGATAACGATTTAAGATTATGAAGTTCTATTATGAATTTTACTCTTTGATAACCTATGTTTAAATTTTTATTAGGACCAAAATAAATTATAATTTTCATTTCAACTACAAAAACCCTCATAATATTAAAAAGGGGAAAAACGTTAGATTAGTTATGTTCAGAATTAAACTCTTTAAACATTTATCTACCTAAAATGTGTTACTTTTAGAAGGTATGTTATTGACTTTCTATTTGTACTTGTATTAATTTATTTCATTTTATTATCTGTTGTATTTTCAAATTGATTTTGATATCAATCTTGTCTATTTATATATTTTTTATACTTACATATATGTTTTTTTCATTGAAACAAACGTTTATTAGCTTATTAAATATAATGAATTCATGTTGTTTTATTATATGCTTGTATGAATGATTACTTTTATTTCCTTTTAAAAATGAATTTAAGAAGATAAAGCCGAAACGGTGAGTGAGAATAAAAATTAGACGAAAGTGACGATATTTACTGGAGTTTTCATCTACACGCTCCTTTTTCTAGCCATCTACACCTGAGCCAGCAAGATTCGTCTTCCCTCCATCCTTACATTCTCCAGATTTACAGAGAAAACGCCGTCCTCTTTAACATATTCAGACCTTCTTGACGGGGACTATACCACTACATTATCAGCTTTATTTGTTATCCAGAGCAATTTAAATGCATTCGTCATTGCTCATTCTCACCTCTTCTCTTGTAGATTCCGTACTCAGTTTTCTTATTTTTAGTTACGTTTGCACTGCTCTTTTATTTTCACAGCTTTAATTCTATAATGCTGTAATGCTACAATATGGATCCATTTATGTGGTTTATACTATTTAATGTTATTCGTAAGTGACCAACCTATTATAATAATTAAAGATTATTGTATTACAGGCCTGAAGTTGTTCCTGTAAGGCCGAAATTAGTTGCTCCTGTATTTATAATAAAATTGATTTTAATGTTTTATTCTTCAATTGAAAAAATTAGACCTTCACAGTGATTTTGTTTCTTTTCCTGCATTAAAAACATATAAGACGGTATTCATTTTAAAAATAGTAAAATTAGCAAATTTTTTAGTTTTTTTTTTACAATTAAAACATTTGGACAATGTGTTTTTATAGATAAATGATACGCCACTGAACAAGAAGGATGTTTACCTTCCCCCTTGTGCCCGCTTCCTCTACAGATGTTGCTAACACAACAATCGCCTACAAACTCGTTTTCACGCTCCCTCTATTAGTAATTGCTCGGAGGTTTTTAATATTTTTTAAGCTATTGCATAGCTTTTATCACGGGCTTTGAGCGGCGACCAAATTAAGAAATTTCGTAACATCCCCCACTCCGACCGGCACAGTTGTGCGGCGTTAAAGCCATGGAAGGTTTTATCCGACCCTATTCGTATTAGTATGAAGCGGAGTTAAATATACGTCTGCGGACTGGAACATTTATGCAATACAAGAACTAGAAGAGCTTTCTCTGGCTTCTAATAAATTGGTATCACAAATGTTCCCAGCTGGCGTAAATATTAGATAATAATTTTTAAGCTTAGCTTTTATCGCGGGCTTTGAGCGCGGCGATCGAATCAAGAATTTCCGCGAAAATAAACCATTGTCTGCATTGTCTAACGTCGTTTCAGTTCGGCAGACTTCGGCACGGTGTTTGTGTGCGAGCGACTAGACGTATGCGTGTAGACTAGCTGCTAACTGCGCATAACTGATTCTATCTCTTTTAGACACAATGCTAGGTGAGACAGCGTGCTTTTTGGCCGCGCCCACGAGTGAGTTCGAGCCCACTGGAGTTGTACAGTATATTTTTTCTACGACTCACTAACAAAAATCGAAAAAGAAATTCCGTAACGAAAATAAACCTGACACCCCTCACTCCAACCGGCACAGGGGTGCGGCGTTGAAAGCCGTGCATCGTCTA